GTAGTCGCTGGCAGGAGAGGGGGAAAGGTTCGTTGGTGGAGGCGCTGTGTTGGAGCTTGACGAGTGAGTAGGTGGAGGAAGTAGAGGGGGGCCCGAGAAGGTGGAGTGAAGGTGGAGGTGGAAGAGAGTGTGGCACAATGGTCGTCATGGCAACACCATACGGCTTCCAACACGAGCAACGCGAGCAAAAGAGAGAGACGGAGGTTCGTAGGTGGAGGAGAAGAAGTTGGATAGACAGAGAGGGCTCGATCTAAAGAGAGAGAACTCTGTCTCCGACTCAGGGACTCTATTTCCATAATCTGCCGCTTTGTCGATTCTGAATTATGCGACTACGCTCCTCCTCCTCCTCCTACTTCTTCTTCTTCCTCCACCGTTTTCTCCCCGTACCGAACTCAGAGACTTCTCTTCTTCCTCCAACCTTCTCCGCTGCCACCCACTCACCCACCACTCCACCTTCTTTCACGTATATGTGTATATATGTATGTATAGGTATGTATATACGCGTGTACATGTACATAGAGAGGTACAAGCAAGCGCATACATAGATGCAAAGCGTACTCTCGTAGCCGCCCCTGAACCGAGTATCCGATTATTTGCTTGAAATCGATTTCACGTGTTCGCCTGCCTGCCTTTGCATTTGTACAAACGCGCCCGTACAACGAACACACATCGTGCGTCGCTTTGTGCGATGTCACGGGGTGGCCCGGGTCCTCTCTCGTCGTCTTCCTGTCGGCATTGTCGCGGCTTTGTCGTTCACGACATCGCGTTGTCGTTGTCGTTGTCGTCGTCGCCGTAACGCAGTAGTCTTCGTCGTTGCGGTGGACTGATCTCTGATTAGGAACCACGAGGGGTAGTGCTCCCTTTTGCCTGAGACCTTCGATTTTTGTGTTTGAAGTAACGAGACCGCGGTTGATTTCGGAACACGCTTTCTTCAATTCGATTCCCCGGGGATGCTCGTCGTTATTCTCGTCAGCTTCCAACAGAATTCTACCAGGAGAAGGGGTTGACAGGCTCGTGTTCGCTTGGCAGACTGAGGCTGATCATTTCGACGCCCTCTTGCGATAAAGAAGCTATTGAAAAAGATTTGGGGGAATTATTAACCCTAATGTATAAATCTTTCCTTGTTTTACGCAAGATATTTATGTACTTATTTTAGCGAAAGATATTGTATGCTAACTTTGAACAATAATAGTTGCGTTTAAACTACTATTAATATAAATGGTGTTTTCACAAACCAAAATAAGACGAAAATAAAGAATATAAAGATTGACGCTTTGTTTAACAATGATTAATATTTAGAAATTAACCAAAATATAATCTTGACAGCCAAACTGTGATATGACATAAATCGAGACACGAGGTTAAAACAACAACTACTTACGAGTAAGCTATAAGACCTGTATGAAACAAAATAAAAGAAATAAAATCGGAAAGTTTACCTACTAAGAACAAAAAAAGCAATACAAAAGAAAGAAACTTTTGCTTGTATATTTCACCAAAAATCATCCAAATTCTCCAAAATTCAATATGTATATATAAAATGCTATCGCAACAGAAAACTACAAATTACTCTAGTAGTGTTAGCATCTCGCAAATAAAATTTTCAAACTCAAACACCAACACATGGTCGAATACCAAAACTGAATCATCTTGACTTTCGGGGTTGATTTATCCCGAACGTTTAGTAAAAAAAAAAGAGTAGACGAACAAAGGTACCCAGCACCTAACGCTTCTGAGCTCGTACATTCACACGGCTATGTATGATTTTTTCAGGTGGAAGTTGGTGGAGGTTTGACAGTTTTTATCGGACTGACTCGGACCAGCCGGTACAGGAGCAACGCGGGGGTATGCTCTCGAGTTCCGGTTCGGCGGGCAACTTTGCCACGCGTATCCTCCTTCCTTCATCCGCGCTCTCCCTCTGTCTCTGCGGACCCTCTCGCCCGAGCCCTCTCATAAACACTCGATCTCCATTAAACTGACTCTTTTCAAGGGACTGACCGGCTACCGATACTCGACTATCGTAACATCCGGCTTGACTGTCTGTTTATTTTTTTCTTTCTCTTTCCCTCTCTCTCTCCCTTTCCTCCACTTTTTCTCGTTCCTCGTTCGAATCCGGGAATAAATTCATCTTTTCAAAGAAAAAGTTCTGCGATCGTATGACGAGAGTAGAGAATTCACGCCTTGTTTGCGTTCAACGATGATTTTTCTGCAGTATAGGACCAGGTGTTAGTTTTTGTTAATTCCATCCACGTGTTTTTAGGATACGTTTCATCAGATATAAATAATTATTGTTTGGTACGAGACGATTGGTTTGTAGATCTAGCTGGCAGCATGATAATGTAGACGGTGATTAAAAATAGTATCTGTATATTATATGGACTTACTTATTTTCCAGTGAAGCGTTTCTTAATAAACATTTAGATACATTTCATTTTCCTAACATTAAATTTCTATAATCGTGAAAATGCATACTATTAAATGATATGAAATTTAATATATCTCGTATTAACCGAACATATCAGATAATTTAATCGACGCAACATGTGCGTCTGTATCAAAATCATTATAGAATTCTTTCATAGAAAATACTCAAATATTGCCATCGATACAAATAGAATCCTATTCGAATTCTAAAATTGAATTACTTTCAACTCTCCGTTATAACTCATAATTCCCATCTCAAGAAAAAAAGAGAGTAGAAAAGAATTCGTTATAAAAATCCACGGCAGAAAACAATCGTGTGTTTGGTTTGAAAATAATGGCCAAGGGCTGCGCGATAAATTCGCCCTTTAACGATCGGCACGCGCGAACCGCGTTCATCCGGCGGAGACCTATTAGTTCCTCGGACTAATTAATTCGGGTTGGAAGAGGAAAAAAAGCGCGCGACGAGACAGGCGAAAGAGGGGTTCGCGACGAAAAGAAAGCGAGCATTATCGAGCGGGGACAGGGCTCGATGGAAAATAGTTGGCTGAACGACGAAGGGGGGACACTTTCGATCATCGGTTAAATTTCCAGCATCGGCCCATTGTTTGCCCTCCATTGTTCTAGTATCTCGAGGGCGGCGCTTCCCTTTGTCTCCACCCTTTGTACGTTTCCGTGGCCGGATCTCTCGCCTCTTCGCGCGGGCGCGAGACGGCATCTGCCGAAGAGGGAAAGAAGAGGAAAAACCGGAGAAGATAAAGGGATAAACGGGACAGCCGGTGCACACGCTCCCGGATCGAATGAAAAGTTATGCTCACCGCCCTCTAATTCTTTCGCGCTCTTTGTCCCTGAGTAATGCGTCGCGCTAATGTACGGGAGAAACTGTTAATTAAATCGATGGAAGTTTTTGGAATGATTTGGATTAGGTGTCCTGTGTGGAATGGTAACAGGTAATTTGATGACAATGGTAAGTTTCATGATAAACCAATTAATTTTTAGGATATCATTTTTACAATTTTTCAATCTCTTCATTACAATTTTATAGTTGCGATTTTCCAATCTTACGCACTATTTTTCATAGGAACGTGCTTGAGATGTCTACATAATAATGTTTTAATATGAATGTTCTTCATAATATAATATGAACATTATTGCTCACTACTTTATTCGGTACCTAAGCCATTTTACTAAAACGTATAAAAATAAAGACGCAATATTACTTATTAGACGCATTACTCATTAGAGTCTAATAACTAATGTATTTATAATTAATTATATATATTACATAAATCGACGCAACATGTACGTCAGTAGTATCGAGTATATAAAAACTTCGAAATAACCTCTGAAAAGAAATTAAAATTTCTATGCCATAAGTGGTGTGGTAGTTCTATCCCAAGCAAATCCGAGGCATCAATTTCCTTTGGTTGAGCGTTTATTCGCGGCAGGACGCGGTCGAATGCATCGACGATCTTCATCGTGCGTATCTGCTCACCGGCACAATGTTACATTATCAATGCAACGCAATATTCACATATACGGCCGGTATCGAGTTCGCAATCTCTTCCAACAAACCCTTCTCACGGGCAGCTGTGTAACAGAGAGAAAATGTTCGTGCACGCATACAGTGACGATTCACACACAGAGTCGATTAAG